ATGTCACAGTCTCCCCCAGTTGTGGGAATTTCGTCCCGAAATTCAACTGGCAATAACACTGGTTCAGACATAGCGAATAGTTGAGGATATTTGTTCTTCATGAAATCCTCTCGTTCCCACGTAAACTCGGGCCCATGCTTAGAGTTCCAACGAACTTTCACGATCGGTATTTTACTTCGTTTTAGTTGCTTAACCTCTCGATCGAGAATTTCTACAGGTTCCTCCACGAACTTTAGTTGATCATTAATTTGGAGGTCCCCGAGAGGTATGTGTAGGGATTCCTCCGCCAAGCACTTTTTGAGGTTCGACACATGGAATGTGTCGTGTATCGCACTCAGTTCATCTGGTAGCTTTAGTTTATATGCCACTGGACCGACCGTTTCGATAATCTCGAAGGGTCCTACATAACGGGGACTCAGTTTTCCTATTTTACCAAAACGCACGATTCCCTTCCATGGGGATACTTTTAAGAGTACTTTGTCTCCTATTTGAAATTCCAAAGGTTTCCTATGCTTATCAGCATAGCTCTTCTGGCGATCACGGGCAGCTTTCAGTCTATCACGTATTATCGAGATCTTCTCAGTGGTCTCTTGAATTAAACCCAGTCTCGTTAACTGCCTATCGCCAATTTCCAGCCAACATAGTGGAGAGCGACATTTACTCCCGTACAAGGCCTCATAGGGGGCGCATTGTATGCTGGTATGGTAGCTATTATTATAGGAGAACTCAACTAATGGCAAATGGTTATCCCAACTTCCTCCAAAGTCGATCACGCAAGCCCGGAGCATATCTTCTAACGTCTGGATGGTTCGTTCACTCTGACCGTCTGTCTGGGGATGATATGCGGTACTTAAGTCTAAACGTGTCCCCAAGGCTCTTTGAAGCGACTGCCAAAATCGAGATGTAAAACGGCCATCTCTATCCGATATGATGGAAATAGGTACTCCGTGACGTACTACGATCTCATCTATGTAAATTCGAGCAAGCCGTTCCATTCGGTAATCCCGAATGGGAAGAAAATGTGTGGATTTCGTCAGTCTGTCCACCACTACCCAGATAGAATCGTGTCCTTTCACAGTCCTCGGTAGCTTAGTAACAAAATCCATGGATATTTGCTCCCATTTCCATTGAGGTATTTCTGGTTGCTGAAGCAAACCGGAGGGCTTTTGATATTCAGCCTTCACTTTGGAGCAAGTTAAACATTTCCCAACATACAAAACAATATCTTTCTTCATTTCAGGCCACCAATAGTATTCCTTTAGATCCAAGTACATTTTGTCGGCTCCAGGGTGGATCGAGTATCGGGAATTATGGGCTTCCTTTAAAATTACCTCACGCAATTCGTAGATCTTTGGTACCCATACTCTATTTTTGAAGTACTTCACTCCATCCGAACCTGTTTCAAATCGTTGTTCTAGACATTGCAATGTTTCACATTTCAAGTTCTCAGTCTTTAATGCTTCGCCTTGAGCAGCAAGGATTTCGTCCTTCAAACTGGTTTGAACAAGGGCTCCGAAGGCATGAGCTCGTGAGGGTCTCACTCTTTCCTTCCTACTCAACGCATCGGCTACAACATTGGCCTTTCCTGGATGGTATTTAATTTCGCAATCGTAATCGTTGAGTAATTCCACCCACCGCCTCTGCCTCATGTTAAGCATCTTTTGATCCAAGATGTGTTGTAGGCTTTTGTGATCAGTATAAATAGTGCACTTAGTTCCGTACAAGTAATGTCTCCAGATCTTAAGGGCGAATATCACCGCTCCCAATTCTAGGTCGTGGGTCGTGTAGTTTTTCTCATGAACTTTCAATTGCCTTGACGCATATGCAATAACCTTTCCGTTCTGCATTAGTACGCAACCCAGACCTTGGTGTGACGCATCACAATACACTGTGAAGTTCTCTACACCATCTGGCAATGCCAAGACTGGCGCATTACACAACTTATGTTTTAGCAATTGGAAGGCATCTTCGTGTGGTTCTTCCCATACAAATTTCCTATCCTTTTGGGTCAGAATAGTCAATGGCTGGGCAATTTTGGAGAAGTTCTCAATAAAGCGCCTATAATAGCCCGCCAATCCGAGAAATTGCCGAATTTCCGTCGGGGATCTTGGGGTTTCCCATTTCTTAATTGCTTCAACTTTGGTGGGATCCACATGTATTCCTTTTTCTCCAACCATATGACCAAGGAATCGTACTTCCCTAATCCAAAATTCGCACTTAGAGAACTTTGAAAACAACTTTTGGTCTTTCAACAGTTCCAACACTAGCCTGATATGTCGTTCGTGCTCTTCTTTGTTTTGGGAATAGACTAGTATCTCATCAATGAACACGATAACAAACTTGTCAAGGTACGGCCTACAAATCCTATTCATAAGATTCATGAAGGAAGTTGGCGCGTTAGTTAGCCCAAAAGGCATAACTAAGAACTCGTAGTGTCCGTAATGAGTCCTGAAGGCGGTTTTAGGAACGTCTTCGTCGCGTACCCTTAATTGGTGGTATCCCGATCGTAAATCAATCTTTGAAAAGTACGAGGCACCTTGGATTTGGTCAAACAAATCGTCTATTCGAGGAAGGGGGTATCTATTTTTGATAGTCAATTTATTTAGTTCTCTATAATCGATGCACATTCGCATTGATCCATCCTTCTTTTTCACAAATAAGACCGGTGCGCCCCACGGTGAGGAACTTGGACGAATGAATCCTTTTTCCAAAAGTTCCTGATGTTGACTCGAAAGCTCTTGCATTTCAGAAGGTGCCAAGCGGTAAGGTGCTTTAGCTACAGGTGCCGCTCCAGGAATTAGATCAATTCTGAACTCGACTTGTCTTGTTGGGGGGAGTCCGGGTATCTCTTCCGGGAACACTTCGGGGTATTCTCACACTATTGGAATATCCTGAATATGTTTTTCTTCCGAATTCTTTTCCACTACATGAGCCAAGAACGCAAGGTACTTCTTCTTCAGATATTTGTGAATCTTCATGCATGAGACTATCTTCAAGTTCTTGCCTGGTTTCTCTCCGTACACTAATAAGGTTTCGTTGTTTTGGAGGGGCATTTTGACAACTTTCTCAAAGCATCCTATGTCTGCTCGATTCTTGGATAACCAGTCCATTCCTACCACTACGTCAAAGCTTCCGAGTTCCATGGGTATCAGATCAATACTAAAATTTTTACCGGATAAGTTCAAGGTACAATTAGGAACTATCTCCTTAGCCTTAATTTCATGGCCGTTAGCAAGTTCAATTGTGTAAGCATGTTCCAACATTTTTGATTTCAAGTCGATTAGTGATCTAAATTAATGTGACACAAAACTTCTATCTGCCCCAGAGTCAAATAATACTGATGCATAGTGGTTGTTTAGGAGGAATGTACCTGTTACCACCTTCGGGTTCTGGCGGGCCTCTTCCGCCTTGATCACAAATGCTCGCCCACGAGCCTGACCTCCTGGATTTCCACGGTTGTTATGACCTGCCTGGTTATTGTTGGGGCCCTTGTTTAGATTCGGGCATGCATTCCTAAGGTGGTCCACACTTCCACACTCATAGCACGCCCGTTTACCCCCTTGCGATCTTTATCTATCCTGCAATACTTCGCGAAATGCCCAGATCGGTTGCACTTGTGGCAGATAGGGAAGGCACCCTCATGGTGATAGCTGCATTTCTCACACTTAGGTTTAGGCCCTCGGTATTGCACAGGTTCCTCTGTTTTAACCGCAAAGTTCGTTGCCCTTCTCTTGTTCCTTTCTGAGTTGTCATTCTTCTTCCTTCCAAACTGGCTCTCCGGTTTTCTTTTGTTACTGGTGTTGCTTATGGTCAATATCCCAGCCCTCACTTTATCATTCGTAAGTTGGTGCGCCAGGTCTATAGCGCTATGGATTGAGGTAGGATTTGCTGAAGTAACCATGCCTCGGATTTCGGGTGCCAATCCCCATATGTATCGGTCGATCCTCTTGCTCTCCGGGGTGACCATGTACGGCACTAGTTCAGCGAGTTCATGGAAACGCACAGTGTAGCCTTCCACATTGGCTCCTACCATGGCATGGTTCCAGAAGTCAGATTCCATTTTCTGGATTTCATCCTTACGATAGTATTCCTTCTTGAGTAACTCTTTGAATTCCTCCCAAGCTAACTTGTTCACCGCCTCCCTTCCACGGTTTCAGACTTGCACATTCCACCATGTTAAAGCTCTGTCTTGTAGAAGGCATGCAACATAGGGAACCTTGCATTCATTTGAGCATTTGCTGATGTGGAGTACGGCCTCTATTCCTTCTATCCATTTCAACAATCCCACCGCACCTTCTGTTCCGTGAAACTCCTTGGGTTTGCAAGACATGAAGTATTTATAGGTGCATCCCCTTGTTTCCTCATTACGAGTTCCGCTTCCCTCTGTGTTCACAGTAGGTGTAGGGCCTCCGCGGTTTGTCTGACTAGTATGGATTCCCGCAGTGACTTGAGCCACAATGTTAGGGATAGCATCCATCAGTTGTTGTGAGACCAGTTGAGCAATATCGGGAGTGGCATTCTCAGGCTGTGTTTGGCGTGAGCGGGTGTTCCTTCTTGGGGGCATGGTTCTATAACACACAACAAAATTTAAGACGTTACCATCATAAAAAGAAAAAAAATCTCTCTTTTTGCAAGAAATAAATATAATAAAATATATTTTCAAGAAAGATTTCAAATCATCAAACCAATTTACAGTTTATGAACAATATAAATGCGAAATAACATGGAAATTGAAAGTCATTAAAATAGATTTTCATTCATAGTTTGTAAATAAAAGGTTTAACAAAGCATACTGCTTGGCACTGCAAGCTACAAAAGATACTTCAACCATATTTTTTCAAAAGCCATAAGCCAAAGGCATTACATCAAAATACATAGACCAAAGACCATAAAACATAAACCATGACGCTTTGATTCAACCCCAAAACAAAATCACCCAAACCAGCGCCACTGCCAGAATCAATGCTAGTCCTCCGGCGATAACGCTAATGATTATAGCTCTAAACTGCAGTCCTCTCGGCAGAGTATGCATAATCCCACGCCGCAATAACCAAGTCTGTCATGTCGGCAATGCTGTGATGATGATGAGTAATCCTGCTACGGGCATCATGCAGGTCTCGGGCCTTGGCGTCCATGCTGCGTCGCTCCCGACAAGTCATCCCGGGTGCTGGCATACAAGGCATCCCTATGAGTGGGGGTCGAGGCTGACTGGGCTCTGGTCGCTCCTCCCTTGGTGCGGGAGGTGCTGGCATAGGTTCGGGACGCTCGAACCTCAACACTTCTCTCGGCATTGGCACATTCTTTCTCGCTGTCCTCCTATGGTATAGCCCATAAAAGGGTGGCTGAGGCGTCGGCTGTCGCGAGGGGTCGGGTATTGACGTGGCTGAAGTCTCTTCAGTCGGTGCCTGGCTGCTCACTTCGTCTCCAGTCTCCGATCCCGTAGATGAATCTTCGGTCGGTTCGGTGGTAGAGTCGCGGTTGACTTTTGGATGCGCAGTGACGTAGCCCGACTCATCCGCCGATCCAAGTGCTTGAGAGCTAGTGTGTGACATGGCCATGCTGTGTATAAGAAACTCTAATGCTTAGATGAATTTTTAGCATCGTAGCTTATATTATTATGTTCAATGTTTCTATTATCCTAGAGTTTTCATACCACTCACTATAACCAATTCCGGTCTTGACTAATCTTCCTTAATTATACATAGGTGATCAGGCTATGTATGATTAAGGTCCAATAGTGCACTACCCGAATTAGTTATACTAGATGGTATGCTTTATTAACTCAACGGTTATAGTTTAGGATTTCCCAAGAAAGGGAAAACCGGTATTCTCTATAACCTTAGGCTCTGATACCAAATCTGTCACACCCCGCTAAAGCGGAAACACGAAGAGTGACAGGCTAAGGTCTCATCACAAAGGTAAATAGGATTACCAACCATAAACATCAAGAGTTTTAAATTTACATCGCGTACAAAATAAATACATTCGGTTTTCACAATACATAGTTTAATACATAACAAAAGCAACAACATAAATCATGCTGGTGTCTTATTGATTCACTGACCGTTCCCTGAAAAGCATGCAAAAACGAGGGTCAACTATAGAATAGTTGGTGAGTTCACAGGTTTATAAAAGTACATTGTTTCAACAAGAAAATATAGTTTGTTCAATAAAGTTCCAGTTTGAAAAGATTAATGACATTGCATTTCGTTCACAACCAAGCCTGACGACCGTTCTTGCCCCATTCCATCATGTCCATGGTTCCCATGATGTCCGTTCATGGAAATATGCACTCGCGGTTCCGGGCGAGTGGGGGCTGTCGACCCCAAATAGCGCTATCCATAAGACCATCGGCTCAAATATGAGTTAATAGGTTGTATCGGTTCTCCGGGGACTTAATCATACAAGTTCATAACACCAAATTCATAATACAAGTTCATACAACAAAGTTCATATCACAAATTCATAGCACAAGTTCATAAAATAATGTTCATAGATATTGTGCCATGCTTTCCACCCCAAAACATTAAAAACCGAAAATAGGGGAGTGCGTGAATACTCACCCTGGAAAGTTTGCGACTCGGGCTTTGCGGGTTGATGTTGGTGAGTGAGAATCCTAATAGCGTCCTACGGAACAAATAGTCTCTAGTGAGATATAATTCACTAAACCATTATCTAAGTCTACTTATCCTATTAGTGGTGTCATTAAGTTCCCAAAGTTTGTTTGGTTCATTATTAATATTATTGAATTCATGGTGTCTTATATTCAAAAAAATTCATACAGGCATGAAAATGAACTCCAAAAATTGTAAAACTTTATATTGTGTTTCTACAGGAGGGTATTAGTGTCCAGAAATTTTATAGACATTTTTTATGGTCGTTTTATATTTATTTGTAATTTAGGATCAAATAATATAGAAATCCAAATAAATTGGTAAACAGTTTCTAAAATTCCCAATTTAATTTATACAAGTTCTTATAATGTTCCTAAGGTTGAGAAAAATATTGGTTAGGAACTTTGAGTCCAATAACCTGAGATTATAATTTCATGCTCCGATTTAATGAAAAATATGGAATAAATATCAAACAGTGTCCAAAATGTCTGAAAATTTACATAGCTTTCTTATTCTGTGATTATATTCATACTAAAAAATTTCAGATTTTTATACCTTCTGAAAATGATTATTTGGAATTTAAAGCCATTAAATAACTATTTTTATAAATAAATAAGGGATTGTTTCTAGCCCTTGGTATTTTACAGATTATCACATGCATGTGAGGGCTTTCAAAAGGAAAAATGTTCAAAATTTATTCAGAAGAGAAATAGGGGTATTGAACCCAAACAAGTTAAGAAATGTTGCACATTATAATGCACGAGATGTAAATGTGGCTGAAGTTCATGAATTTGTGTAGCACATTCTGTGGGGTTTTAAGCCACGAAATTTCAGCCATCATTCACTGGATATGTTAAGTTTCTAAACTATTTTTCCCCAGATTTATGGTTGGGTTTAAGGCCACTGATCACGTAAAGCAAAAATGGTGATCACAGAAAAAGAGCTGTTTGCGCAACCATTTTGTAAAAATTTCCAAAAATCCGATATTTAATCTTTTACAGTGAGATCAGTTGGGTTTGAAAGCTAACTCGTGGACCTATCCAATAAAAAACGAATATCAGGATTTGGTTAAGTAATGACCGAGTTATGGCCGTTCAAATCTGAACAAAATAGTCTGGCAGATTGCATGTCTTCCCTGGTTGCTTTGAGTGCATTCTTAGGGCACTTTGACAAGAACAACATGCATGCTTCTGTTAAGGTCCGATTCCTAGCACATGCATGGAGTGAATGAGCATCCAAGATGTACTAGAAATGGTTTAAATGCTTTTGGTCATGCAAGAACACAAAAGAAATGGAGAAGAAGATGTAATACTCGGTTTTGAAGTCACATGAACACATGTGCATCTTTTTCACTCCTTGCATGGGTTTGATCCCGGATTTTCACCATCTCAAACACATGCATTGTGTTATGGTGAGAATCTACAAACCACAAGGGAAAAAGTAAGGATTTCTAGCCATAGAAGGGCATAGAATCCGAAGAGTAGAGAAGAACCATGAAGAAGAGGAAGTAAAGTCATTAAATTTTGAGGGAGGATTGTGTTGTTTACCTTGGTTTTGATCTTGAGAGAAGCAAGAACACTTAAAGACCTTCTCAATTTCGAAATTATGGCAGAGAATGGAGGATTTCCTGGAGGTGTAGGAGAGGTTTTTTGAGGTGGGGAATCTTCTTGGAGAAGGAGTGTGGGGTGGAGTGTGTGGGTGGTTCAAATGAGGAGTAATGATAGGTTTTAAGGCATAGGGAAGAGGGAAAGGCCTAATGGCCGAGATTTTAAGAGGGATAGGGTATTTTTATTGGTATTTGATCAAATAATAAAAGCCTCCCTTGAATTTTTATAGATCTAGATTTTAAATTTTATAAAACTCAAACATTTTCGTAATCTCCTAAGGTTTTAATTATTGGGTTTTGTTGAGGTATTTACGCTTGGTAATAACTTCCAAAAATTATATTTGTTGAATTTATTTATATAATGATAACCTATTATTTAATTTTTATAAAAAATCAATTTATCATATTTCAACAATTCTAATAAGGATTCATAATATGTGATTGTAAGAATTTGATATTCTTGGATTTTACTTTTGGTTCACATTTCGAATCATGAAGTATATGAATTTGTCATAAACTTTATAGTTGGTTCATATTATGATCTAATTTTTGTTCATATTAGCTTGTGATACTTAACCTTGTTAAGCATCAATTTGTTCCAATATGAAATTTTTAGGGTTAATAACCTACCCTTGAGTTGTAATCTATCGAACATAGTTTTATGTTTAGACTTAAGGTTCAGCTTTGGCACTTTACCACTCAGTTGGTTCCTTTTACATATCAATGTGATCGTTCAATACAACTAAGGTACACTACTTGTTTCGAGGGATCTATTAAGTCACAAACCTAGTTCAACTTGTAACTATAGAGCCAAGTTAAGTGCACACAAGGAAATGACAAGGTTCTAGATGAGTATTGACCTGAGTTTTGGTGGATGTCACATTTAGTTTAGGGAATATCTTTCTTATTTGTCCTCTATGAAGCACTTTTCCTGTAAAATATTCTTGTCTTTCAATTACTATAACTAGTCTCCGTTGCTGTCAAAATTTTACTACTTCTGATATGATGTAAGACCTATTCTTAGGTCAATTTTCCCAAACTTATTACATCCTTAATATCAATGATATTTGGCAGTCAACTAATCTTCTGTGGAAATCATTGTTCAAATACTTTCATTCTTCTAATTCTAGAACTCTATGGAACTTATACTCTCATTTAGTTGTTGAACTATGTCGATTTAGTTCATGGGACTCATTCATTAACTTCACTATCTAATTCTTATCATTGTACTCATCTTTAAACTTATAGTTGAAAGATGCATCCTCGTAAGTCAACAAGGCGTAATCCTCCGATTATTTCAACTCAAACACCACTTCCTTCACAATTCGATTCGGCAACTCTTAATGATGCGGTGGCTGCGGCTATTGCGACAGCCATGGCTCAATACACCAACAACCAAGGCACTAGTGGAGGTGGAACAGTCGTTTATTCCACTCATAGTGATGTCGTAGTGCGCTCACGAGAGTGCTCTTATAAAGACTTCACTAACTGTAAACCCCGAGTCTTCAATGGAATTGGCGGAATCATTGCTCTGTCGCAATGGTTCGAAAAGACAGAATCGATCTTTGAGATCTGTTCTTGTACTGAAAGGAAGCAAAGTCAAATTTGCTGCATGTACCTTCGGTGATAGAGCCCTGACATGGTGGAATAGCCATATCAAGTCACTAACTCTAATAGTGGCAAATGATATGGGCTGGGAAGATTTTAAAGGGCTGATGATTGAAGAATACTGCCCAAGGGGCGATGTTCGGAAATTGGAACAAGAACTTTGGAGTCTGACCATGAAGGGCTCCAACATAGTGGCTTACACTGCTAAATTCAGCGATCTGGTGGCACTATGTCTCAATATGGATCCCAATGAGGGAAAGAAGATTGAGAGGTACATTTGGAGGCTGGTTCCTCCATTTCAGGGGAATGTCTTAGCTTCAAACCCCACTACTTTCGACAGTGCCAAGCGATTGGCACAGCAACTCATCGATCACGGAGTCCCTACCCCGACAACGACAACAACCCTGGCTATCTCAGAACCCTCCAAAGCCCGCCGACAACAAGTGGAAGTTCTGGGATAACAAGAAGGGCAAATCGGCGTAGAACTTTGCTAAGAAGCAGCAAGTTGTGGTTGTTCATGCCGCGATTGCGCCTGCTGCTACTGCGCCGAGGAAGAAGTACACAGGGAATTTGCCCAAGTGTAACAAATGCACTTTCCATCATAATGGTGTCTGCCGAGAAATGCAGTGCGCAAACTGCAACAGGAAAGGGCACACTGCCCGATTCTGTAAAGCTCCGGCGAGGCCAATAAACCAAGTCCCCGGCATTGTTGTGGGCCAGGCTTGCTATA